CTATTGGCTTATAAGGGGAAATACATGTTTTTGTTCACAAAAACAAAATTCTAGTTCAACTCTGCACTCCACCATCTAAAGATGTCTTTGTACACCAAATCTGGATACTCCAGATGAAAAAGTACAAAAGATATGCCCCAGGCAAACATTTTCAGAAGTAAAGGTCAAGTCATAGGTCACTACGACTACGACTTCGACTGCGCCATCCCAAGATGTCCTCGACACCCAAACTGGTTGCTCCATGTGCATTACTTACATTGCAGCATTACCAGCTGAATCTACATAAAAGATCCCCCCCCCCCCTTCCACCTAAACACACACACTAATTTTGAAAAGTGACCATTTTTTTTACATTTTAACCAAACCGTTTTTGAAAGTATAGTTGTCCCAATCTTAGAAGAAAAAAAAGTTCTAGATTTTTGTTGCCAGAAATTAGTAGCGGGCCCTCTCGGCCGATCGCTCAAGCCGTTATGGCAACACATGTACGGAAAGTACGGGAAAATGTGATTGAATTGGTTCTATGCTATTTGAAGGCTTCAAAAACGTTCGTCCTTCCGGTCGTACAGGCTCGAAAAAACGGCAATATGCGTTGCTCCGTGCCTGCATTGATGTTATTTTTTTGCACAAACAATTAATTTAATATTTTCAATGAATACCTTGTAGTTTTGTCGTATCTCCGACAGATTTTTATGTCCAGAAACAGTTCTACATTTTTTACAAGTCGATGTTACTGATGAAATCCTTCGTTGTCCTGCATACAATTTTGGAAGATATTTTCATTTTTCTCGATATAACTCGGGTGACCGCTAAGGCCCTTGGGCCTCTTGTTATTATTCCTGCAGTTCAGTCCACATTTATTTATTTGTAACTATACGTTGTAGACATGGACACGTAATGGCTATCTTTAATGTAGTTTACGTATTACATTTATTATGTTACTTTTAAAAAGTTCTTCTGAAGTCATTTTAACACAAGTTCAAATACAAAGAAATTTTCTTTCTGAATTTTTCAACAAAGAGATTTTTTTCTTCTGAATTTTCATCTCGGAATATTGTCATGTAGTTTTCCGTTACCTGACTTTTAAGAACATGATTTATTTTTTAAAGGCGCATTTTGCTGTGCCATCTGCATCTTCACCTTACCAAATTATCTTAGAGAAAAATATGCAGTATATTCTCTTACAGTAATTGTGTGTATATATGTTTTTGTTATATGATCGCTATTGGCATCAGAATAGTTGAATGAAAAACTGTGGAAATGCGGCATTCAATAAACAGATATTTCTGCTTATAACTGACATATGCAAGTATAAAAACATGTAGTTTCAAGAAGAACACCAAATTAAGGCCTAGGTCATTTTTTTTTATAAATGTAGTCATTATTGGATATCGCCTGTTCTTCCAAGATTTTACAATTCCTCTGTACTTTCGTGTCTTTGAATATTGTTTGTCTTTTAAAACGAGAAAAAAGGCAGACTCTCTTCAATATGGACTGTAATGTTATCATTATCCTAATTGTATTTTAACATACATTGTACACTATATCACTGTTAAAATTTAATCATCAACTCTGGAGTAAGACCTTTGATTCTTTTGAATACATGCATTGACAAACACTAGTATAAACAAATTGTGTAAATCAACTTTTTTATTTTCGTTCTTATCAGTACTTTACGATACCATTCAGATGAAGAAAATAAACAAATAGTCCGGTAAAAAAAAAAAAAAAAAAAAAATATGCCCCAGACAAACATTTTCAGAAGTAAAGGTCAAGTAATAGGTCACAGTGATCTAATTATTCGACTCAGCACTCCACCATCCCAAGATATCATTGTACACCAAATCTTGTTACTCCAGATGAAATAGTATAGAAGATATGCCTCGGACAAACTTTTTCAAATGTTAAGGTCAAAGGTCAAAGTATAGGTCACCGTGAGGTCATAGTGACCTTCTTCATGCACTCCGCCATCCCAAGATGTCCTTGTACACCAAATCTGGTTTCTCCATGTGAAATAGTATAGAAGATATGTCCCGGACAAACTTCTCGGACGGATGGGCGGATGGGCGGAGTGCAAACATGTTGATTTCTTCAATATCCTAACACTCCAATTCCTAGTACATTAGTCGCCTTTTATATTAAAATATATTTTTTGTAGAATTTAATTTTACGTGTGCAATACAAATTTTGTTGTAATTTTCTTATACTTCTTTCCAAAATGACGGCGGGAGCTAAGATATTAACTCATTCATCCCTGAAATGTCATAATGAACTATTCCAGCATTTGAATTGGAAGAGTTCAAATGTGTCTTCAGTGGTGAATGAGTTTAAGTTTTATTTATTCACTCCGACACACTTACGTGTGTAACAAGAGGTCACATACATATAGTAAGTATGATACATGGCGTGTGATGTACACAATTACAACATTGTACATAGCATAGATACATATAGAAGTACACAAATAGTACAGAAATTAAGTTAATATTTTTTCAAGCTTTTCTATGAATTTACAAAGTTTTGTGTAAATTTTTACATTAAATATATTAAACAATCCTTGCATTTTTAATTGACTTGGATAAGTGAAATAATATTTTGGTATATATTTCTCTCTTAGACATTTAACTAAAACACTTTCACATATAAATAAGTAATGAAATTCATCTCCAATGTACAAATTACATAATGTACAGGTTCTTTCTTGACGAGGAATACCTAACCATCTTCCTTTTTCTATGGGTAAATGCATATTGCAAGAACGGAATTTACACATTATTTTCCTATCATTTGTATTAAGTTTAATTAAATATTTTTCTTGTTCAAACTTTGTCTTTAATATTGAATATGTTTGTCCTCTAGAGGAGTTAAGAATATTATCAAACCATTTCTGTATAAATTGATCCTTCAGTCTACTTTTCACAAGCCTCTTAATTTCGTCTTTTGAAAAAGAACATGTAGATTGATAGTACCACACATAGTTCAGGCCAGTTTGAGAAAAAATATCTTTAACATATGCGAGCCATTTAAATAACATAGTTCCATTTTCATGTAATGTATACATAAGCTTATAAATAGTACTTGATAACTTACTAGAGGTAATCAACTTATGCCAGAATACTATTATTCTACATTTAATTTCGATGTCTAGTGGGTATCTTCCAAGCTCACCATAAACAATGAAATTTGGTGTACTTTTTCTTACATTTAGTATATATTTACAAAATTGAAGATGGATTTTTTCTATAATATTTGTGTTTTCAAAACCCCATATTTCTGATGAATACAGAAGAACTGGCATAATTAATGAATCAAATATCTTCAATTGTAGATCAACTGGTAAAGATATGTTTCTCAATTTCTTATAGACAGCAAACACTGATTTCTGTGCTTGTGAGTTAACTAAACTAAGATGGTCAAGAGCTATGGCGGAAAACTGCCAATATTTCGGCTTTTATGAAAACGGAAATTTTTTATTAATTAGTAAATAATTTCTAGCAGCGAAAATGCATAGAATAGATATAAAACTAATTGGTTATGAATATTTGAACTGCTGAGATATAGGGTATTGTTAATTTGATACTGCAAATATAGCCATATCCATCTATGCCAAATTATGGGGTTTCCCAGACTTAAACAAATACTTTGAACACTTTCCCATCCGAGGACCAACTTTTGAATAAGCTTTTTTATTCCGTGATGTAATATGCAAAAGAAAAAATCGTATTCTTTTTCCTTAATTAATTAATAAAATATTTTTCAAATCAATAGTACATTTAATTTGTATTTTAATTACATACCTATTGATTTATCTTCTATGGAATCATGTCAACAAATCACTGTACACGTGTACAGTACAGCTACGCTTTGTAGATAAGACATCATCTTAAAAGATATTTATGAATTATTTTTCCTTCTAATTGGCACTTGTAATCTTATCTATTATTTAAACACAAACAAATGATGATGGATTGTGTGGGATTGTTGCGTCACAATAAAAGAAGGCCAAACAAACAATATGAAGTGTTATTATCACAAATATATTACCAAAAATACGGGAAAATTGATCGTTGAGGATAGTTTCATTTGTTTGAAATGCAGGATGACTGCAGCACAAAGTAAGAATCGCAATACACGTGTGAGTCATGCTATTCGAAAATTATTTATATCATTTTGCCATTCATATGTGCAGAAAAAACAAAATCAAGATGTGTTTTTTTGTAAGATGCAGGTAACGGCATGACGCAGGTAGCAGTAATGATAATTAAATCCTACGATTGTTACATACAGCATATTATTTGTTTCAAATTCATAGAAATAACGCGAAATAAGCATTTTGTTGAGTCTTTATCGTGAAACGCATGCACCAATAGCCACGGCGTTGAATTCGGCTGTTTGCCTGTATAAAAATACCCGAGGACGCGTCATCACAGTACACGGTGGCACGCTCGCACTAGTGGTCTCACCTTTGGGGAAATAGGCATAGCAATCCGCCATAGCTCTTTGTCGAAATACTCAAATACATTCTGTTTAATTTTGCCATCTAGTGCTTCAAAGTTTGCAAAAAGGAATGACCTTAACCCATATTCACAGTCGATGTTGTGAAAATGACTCCTTCAGGGAAACCGATTTCTAGAATCATGTAGGTTGGCTTGTTGTTAGTATGGCGTGCAACAAAATTGGAGAACAGAAATAACTTTGACATTCATTCAAGGTAAAATAAGCTGGACACTTTAAAGATTACAGGGATCGTCATGCTATTTGGCCTCTAGCTTACCGAAATAGATAGCTAAACATTTTCCGGAAAGAAACAACCTTAACAAATATATACCCAAATGACTTCCTCTGAAGAAGGAAAAAGACTTGGAATAACGAGCTTTGACCAAAAGCGTGTTGGCAGTGAGTAAAAAACAGAAATACTACATTAGACGATCGGCTTCAGGTCCCTGGGGCCTCTTGCGGTCTATTAACTATTACCAATGATACACAGTAATCATCAGTAAACCTGAATCAAGAAATACAATGGCCTCTAAATGTATGTACTTATATATCAACCATCACATTATAACCTCAGTCTCTAGTCATCATCTGTATCGTAGTCTGTCTTCAGTTCTGTTTTAAATATTGGTGATAAATTCTATCTCTTCTCTCCATCGATAACACAGGCTTCATGATCTCCCCCACTTCAGTAATTCGGCGTTGAAATCGTTCCCTATCACGGACACATTCCTCCCAGTGTGATTTCCGGTCTTCATCATCCAAATCATATACTGTACACAACTGGTCTCCCTCAGCAAAAGTCACCTGCAAAATGTTTAGGTCATTTTAAATATAAAAAAAGTCTTCGTAAATATTTTTTTGCGAGATGAAAGGGGGTGAGGGGTTCCAAAATGGCCCCTCCTTTGATTTCAATTTTCTTTTGGTGAGGTGTAGACCTAAACCTTATCACAACAAAAACACCAACCAAATTTCAAATGAGCACTTCGTTTTTCGTAAGAGCATAAAACTGAAATTCTCAAAAGGTCAAGAGTTTCCCCCCAAAAGTCGAATGTTGTCAAACTAATAATGCATTGAAGGATCATTTATGATGCAACCACAACTAGGGAATATATGCTACAGTATACATGTAAAAATCTCTATAGTGAGTTATCAGATATTTACAAACAAATCAACAGTCGGAAGCCATCTCAAGCAATGATATTTTCCAGACAAAATGTGTGGTCATCTTAGACTAAAAGTATCTTATAACTTTTGTATACCAAAAATATTTTGATTATAAAAGGACTAGATTATGAACTACCAGTGACAAAAATATCAATCCAAAATATGTGGTGGAACATATTCAAAGAAGGGATCAAATGACCATAGGGTCTATACATCAGAATTCATGTAGTCTAATCGTTATAACTGAAAACTGACAGAAATGAAGAATTTAATCAATGGAGAACATTTTTGGAAAAAAATCGTTGGTTTATCCCTTTTCAAGATGGCCATCAAAATTCATTCTACTGCCTTATCAGTTGTCAGATTCTCAGACAACTTTCTTGCAATATCAATGGAATTCAGAGATTGCATGTTTGTTTGTTACTTTGTTTTTATAAAGAGATATGGCGGGTTGCTATGCCTATTTCCCCAAAGCTATGGTACGCTAGTGCGCGCATCCAACCGTGCACTGTTATGACGCGTCCTCAGGTATTTTTATACAGGTAGCAATATCGGAATCCCGTGTCTAAGAATAGATTATTGTAAACAGACCACATATTTGGTAATTCGGCATTATTTGTTGGTGTTTAAGCACTTGATATACTTACTATTGCCAGTTGGAGGGTAAAACAATTCATAAATTTCATCAAAAATAGTGTCTTACCTACAAAGCGTAGCTGTACTGTACACGTGTACAGGGATTTGTTGACATGCTTCGATAGAAGTATGTCATTAAAATGTAAACAAAATCTTCCATCGATTTAAAAAAAGCAAAACACCAATGCCTTATTAAGGAAAATGATAACATGCCTAAATATTTAAAATAAAAAATAACTGAAGGAGGATTCGAACCTGCACCGTTTATTTTCTAATCACAAGTAAACTGCGTTACACATTCGGCTACATAGAACATATCGATATTGGCAATTACAAACTGATTTAACCCGAGAAACACTGGTCGCAGTTTAGAGAAACTTGATCACCCCTGTTTTTCATTAATTGAGCACTTTCCCAAAGGAGGACCACTTTTCCGTAATACGATTTGTTTTTGCATATTACATCACGGTCACAAAAAGTTTATTCAAAAGTTGGTCCTCGGATGGGAAAGTGTTGAAAGTATTTTTTTAAGTCCGGGAAACCCCATCACTTTCATAGATATAGTGTATATGGCTATATTTGCAGTATCATATTAGCAATACATAATTTCTCAGCAGTTTAAAAAATCATATTCAATTGGTTTTGTATCTTTTGTATGCATTTTGGCTACACGAATTGTTTTACTCCTTAATTTTTTTCTCCGTTTTCATAAATGCCGACTTATGGAAATACGGGCAGTTTTCCGCCATACCTCTTTATTAAAGTAAGACGCCGTATTAACATCTGATGACATTTACAGATAATTTTTTCCAAGATGCAAGAGTATGATACATGTATGTGTTCGAATGGCAGACTCGGAAAAAAGAAAGAAGAAAAAAAGGTTGCGAGGCTTTGAGTTTGTTTTCTAGATTCTCAAGAAAACAACTTATTTCAAGCTTTGTCGGAACTTCTTAGCCCTTGGGTGCAATTGTTTTGGATTTTAAAGATTGCTATGATAGCCAAGATAATAAAGTATACTTGATGTAGGAGCATACATTCCCATAGTTCTTTGACCAACTGGGCATTGGCAGTAGTAATCTTTTATTAGATTATTATCATTTGGTGTCGTGCTGTACTGAATCCAAACATTGTATTTAGTTTGGCTGTTGTTTCTGGAACAAATCTGGCAACATAGGAGCCCTGATAGTGCCGATTCACCCATATTTCATAATCTTTACGAATTCTGAGTTTGCTTTCTTGGAATGAGCTGGTTGAGTATACACTTTATTTGATGTGCGAGTTCTCTGTCTTTTATGTCAGTTTCGGTGGTCTATGATAAATTGGTCCCCGTATCCAATTGAGACATGCAGTCACAATCTTTAGCACTTCCTCAATTATATCAATGAAGCAATTTGATATTGAGTTCTAAAAATTATCCAATGCTTAATACGGCCATAAAAAGACTCTACAATCCATCGGGATTTGGTAACTGTTCTGTCAATGTTATCCTGTAGATCAGAGTGTTGTCTCTGACATGTCTTAAGATATGAGTACATACTGGTATCAGTAACAGATGCCCCATACGTTGGCAGGATATTACTAAAACCACGATCAACGACTACATTGTCGTCTTGCTCCAACCATGTGAGCTTGTCTATGATGTAATATAAATATTTGTACCATCTATTAAGGCAGTCACTTTGTCTCCAAAGAATGTTTCTGATAATAAAGTATTTGTGAAAGTATATGTTCCCTACTCAAATGGTCAGGACCAAGGAACANCCCCTACTCAAATGGTCAGGACCAGGGAACACTGGAACTATAGATTTATTCAATGCTTGTTCTACAGAATGAAAGGTCTTCGAAATATTAGGCCGGGAAATGCCAAAAAGAGCGGAACACTTAATTACATGAGATATCAGTTTTCATCTTAACCCAAAACGGTAAAAGAGCATTTTGTGTAGTTTTGGTATATCCTTAATAAGAAAGAAATGGGACACATTACGTATGGATTTTGAGAAACTGTACTTTGACCAACCTGTCCAAGCTTTGCAGTCAGGGTAATCCAAGAGACAAAAATTGAGAGTGAAGGCTGATTGATTCTTTGATACAATGTGCGACACTTCTAAAAGGTCATCAATTATTTCAGATGACCTACTTCATAATTGAGAGTTCAAACACTCTCTTCCTTATAGGATAACCTGTATGCAAGGGTTTAGGTCATTGCCAATAAGATGAAATGAACATACACGTGATGACGCATAACACCACAATTTGTGTGTGAAAATTAACTGATGCCTGGCACGTTTTTGTGGATTTGCTTCCCTTCGAATTCAAATCGTTAAAAGAAAGACAACATTTTTATGTGAACAGGACCCGTAAAACAGGTCCTTGATTGTTACGAGACAAAAAAACTTCTAGCAGTTTCTTCTTAAAAACGTTCTGTTTCAGGTTCTCTTTTGCGCAAATACTAACTCATTTGAGCAATTTATGCCACTTTTAGTCAGTATATCCAAAAGCCATTTATATTATGGATTTTGTTTTTACATTTCGTGTACCTTTACATTTACGAGATTTCGCGAAAATACGATGGCGACCTTCATCAATACATTTACTCTTCATTATGAGATGAATATTAACAAATGAATATGAAATATCCTCTAAAAGCAATGTAAAAACGAATGTCTGATGATAAAATGTATGAAAAATGATAACAAAATGTATAAGAACAGATTCTAAAAAGTGACAAAAAAATACATTTTATTTCAAAATTAATTGTTAACAAAACCTTTATCAATCGCGCCAAGTGATGAAATAGATGGGAATTTGGAATTGTTTGTGACCTAACATGCACTGAAAGGTTTATTGTAGACTTGCAACGAATTTCATTAATTACCTGTTATCAGGTGCATTGTTTTTTTGGTGGACGCCAGGGAGGTGTCTGTGCCCTCACCTTTTTGGGTACACAGGGTACTTTGTTGTGCGAAATGAATACTTTCCACCACTTTTTTGGACTGAAGTTTTGCATATATATTTAAAATAACACCACTTCTTCATACTATGAAAATGTTTGGTATACAGGAATAATGAGATTTTACATTAAAATGTTCACAAAATGTTCGATTAAACTCGCATTCTGGATGATAAATGTATTAAAGCACTACATGAAAGAAAATGTCTTTCCCAAGTATTACGTTGCAAAAAATATGGGTTTTTTTCAGAAAAATACTTTCAGGCTGATATTCCATTTTTCGACACTCATGCTGTAATAAGGTTAATTAATCATCTAAATAATTAGAAGAGTGATTCAAAGTAATAACTCTGATGTATAAGGGATTGAAAAAAAGTTAAAACAGCAGCATAAATCTCGAAGCACTTCTGAACCAAAAGTTATGAGGGGGCAGGCTCTTATGTAATTTTAACATAGCTGGAAATAGTCCCTTTATTGATGACAATAACCAGTGCAAACACTGCTACTAAAAGTGTTTGACAACTGACGTAATTTATTTTAAAGTGTGTCAAAAGTACACGTCTGCATCTTTTCGAATTCGATATATCAGGCAACATTTGTGAACTTTACAGCCCAAAGATACATAGCCGATTAAACGGAGGGGACATTAAACCTATCGGAAAGATAAACTTTTGTCATATTCATTACGAGGTATCAATTTCATGTGTACGTACCTTAGATTTGGATTTTTCCCGTTGACTTATAGAAAAGTTCATGCTCCATTTCAAGTTAACATCCAGTATCTCCTGTTGTCTCTTGTCACTTTCACAACCGTTGGTTGGACTGGGTTCCTTAGGGGAGTTGGTAGCCATAGGTTGTTTCACAGGACAAAACACATTAAGTTGTAATGGACAGGAGAAAAAGTCCAGCTCATCTACTCCATCACTATCTGAAAAATCATCACCACTGTCTCCTGAAAAGTCATCAGACTCACTATCAAAGGACACCAGAAAGATAGGTTATTGTAAGGAGCTAAAGAGAGGGCAAACATGAAACAACGACTGCAGTCGAGAACGGGTGTAAGTGACGAGGAGAGGGGCGGGCGTCAGTGTTGCGGTGTTGTCAAGAAAGTAAATGTGAACTCAAGAAATGATAAAAAAACAAACACATAGAGGACCAGGCAGAGATGTCTGAAAGAAGCTTAAAGCAGAGGGAATTTTAGGACCATACGTAACATTACAAGGCAGTTCTGAAGGAAAGTACCAAGAATGGAACCATTGCGTATAAGGAGGGAGAGCAAGAAGAAAGGTTAAATGAAGTCTTAAACAGAAATAAGCAGATAACACTAGGCCAAAATGTTAACAAACGAATGATTTACAGATACCGTTGACAATGGAACAATAAGACCAGGGCACTCGTTCATGAAACCATTATTACTCAAATAATGTGACACGATAAAAATGCCATGCGTAATCATTGAAAACAGTATACAGCTTTATCTCTCTCCAAAAGTCTCCCAGAGTATAGAAAAATACGAATTTTTACTACGTTATCTCCAAAGCAAAAAAATGGGTCTGAGCACAGAATCTTAGCTTGAGCATGGTAACAGTTTCATGAATACAGACCCTGGTGTTCAAGAAGGATAATCACCTTTCGATGTAAAATGTCACGCCCTCAGTGCGAGAATGGGGGTAGTGATATCAAACCTAAAGTACTGAAACTTAAATGATATAGAGTCCATATTTATGTCGTAATAGGATATAAGACATTTTACAATGATATCGTGATATCAACTATATATTGGCAATTGTCTTCATGGCATATTAGATAAAAATAAACGGCTGATGATGTAAAATATTCTTAAGTGACCTTGATTTTCAGTTCATGGTCGCCTTTGTCAATATCCTTCTTAATACTTAAAGAAGTTGAGAATAATCAGTATCTAGAACTAATCATACATTTAGTGGTGGTAAACAGTGAAAAGCAAACGGGACGTGGTGGTTAACAGTGAAAACCAAAGGGGACGTGGTGGTAAACAGTGAAAAGCAAAGGAGACGTGGTGGTAAACAGTGAAAAGCAAAGGGGACATGGTGGTGAATG